ATTTTCTTTATGAGGAAACATTTTAAAGCAGACTGTGTGATCAGTGTTGTTTCATTGAAATTGGGTAAAAATAAAAAACAGAGGGAGACATTTAATATTTAAGTAGGAGACAGGATCAGTCCATTTTTTTGCTTGTTAAGATTTTTACAAGGTGTTTGTGCAGTAATGAGGTATTATTTTTGTTTTAGTGGTGTGGGATGAGGTTGAATTTTTGAAGATATGTATGAAGGCGAATCTTAAGATGTGGAAACCCTTGCAAGCACTGTTTTTAATCAACTTTTGGGTTTAGCTGCCGAGTTGTATAAAACTCAGAACCCAGTTTTGGTTAGGGATTTATTCATTTTTGACAAAGTTCAGGCTCTGGTTGAATAGTAATGCTGTTATCTTTGTTGGAAGAAAAACAGTCTCTATTAAGTCATATCTACAGGTTCATTTTATAGCTTGCAAAACAGGACCAGGGTTTTTTCCCCTTGCTTTTAAACTTAATTTTTTTTTTACACAAGAAACCACTCTCTCTTTGAATTCCCAGAAGGCTGGCAGAAATTTTGGATTTTATGTTGAGATTTATAATATATTGATGCTTTAAAATCAAAATACATTTTAATCTTTCACGACCTAATGGTTACTATTTTTTCTTATGTATTTAAATGAATTAAAATATAGTAATACAGTTAACATCAAATCATAATGATAATTTGTTAGTTAAAGGCTATTTCACTCTATAAAACATTGATTACTAGGAATATAGCTGTGGTTTTATGAGTTTTCCCATATGATTGCTCACAAGTTTTTATGTTGACTAAAATTGTAAATTGTTTAAACTGTTCAAACAAATTACTTAGCAATTAAACCTTCAGCAAAATTGTAATTCATTTTAAATTTAGCACAGAGACTTGCTACTCTTTCTGAAGAAAACAACTGAACATAATAAAATATGTAAATTCGATGTTATGCATGAACTTTTCCCCATAGGACAAAAACATTCCTAGCACTGTGAGTATAGAAAAGCCTTCCACTAATATGAATTAATTTGTAGTAAAGGATCACTGGAGAGAATTTCTATTTTGGAATTTGATTCATATTTCTTTATTTCCAGCATAACATTTTAAACATTTTATTACCAGTTTGTAGCACTTTGGGTTTTAATATTTAAACTTATATGCAACTAACCGAAGTCATGTAACAGAAATATATATTACCTGTTTTGCTGAAAATATTAAAAAGAATGTTAAAATTCTGTATAATCTGAGAACATTGAAACGTATATTGGATATCAATATCAAAATGGCATATAAAATCAGTATTTTTTCAGTTGCAATCACTAAAATCAGTAATAATGTTATTGTGGATTTGTATTTGGATTAACATTAGTGTTTATGTCTTCACTAAAAAGTGGACATGTGTATCTATCTGTACACTACAAGTAGCCGTGGGCTGTATGTTTAATCATAATTTGCACATTAAAGTTTTATGTATATTTGTAGCTGAAGTTCTATTTCAGCAATGTGCTGCTCTTGAAAAGTATCGTTGTTACAGTCTTTGCCAGTTTATTAGCCAGCATCTACCTGTACCATTACATCTTAATTATACTTAAATTTAAGCCAAAAATATCCATCCTTATCATTTATTTCATTGATGTATCCTGGCCTTCAATAACTTGAATATGAGATTTTCTGTCTTGAAAGAGCCAAAAGAGTATCTCTTCATACACATTTAGTCATTTGCTATAGTTTGTTAAAGTCATCAAATGAAAGTATTCATAAGCTGAGCACAAAGCACATTTTGTCAAAAAATAGAATTACTTAAATTTTGTGATTGAGTTCTGAATTTGATTGGCTTTATGTAATTCTTGGTCTTAATGCTACAAAAGCACATTTTATGAAAAGATACAATTGCTTAAATCTTGTGATTGAGTTCTGAATTTGGTCTGCTTTATATAATTCTTGGTCTTAATGCTACAGCACATCTCTCTATTGTAGTTTTGTTATTCTTGTGCTAATTTAGTGTATTTCTCTGCTTTTGAGTATGCTGATTAGATTGTATTGCCTTACTGTTTTAATTCAAATGTGATTTTTTTATTCTCATATTATTTTTACTCTCAGATTTTCCCAATAAACAAAATTTTAGTCAAGTCCCTGCCCCTAACCTTTTGCAGTTGTTGAGATCTTTGATCTTCTGTGCTTACTTTCTTCTAGTTTTGCTTAATGGAAATGAACTTTTAACCTTTTACCCTCTATAATTCATGGTTTCCTTGCAATCTTGAAGTTTTTCTTGTCATTTAAATTCTTTTTAGGAATATGAGCAGTTACAAAAAGAGTAATGTGTGTATGTGTAAATATTTTGGCTTGGTTTTTAGGTCCTGAGGATTGAACCCAATAAACACTCAGCTACATCTCCATGCCTTTCTATTATTTGTTTTACTTTATTTTGACACTAGGGTCTGGCTTGCTAACTTGCCTGGTGATCCTCCTGCTTCAGCCTTCTGAGTATCAAGGCTTGCAAGTATGTGTCACCACACTTGATTTAAATGCACATGTATTTTTTTTTATTGTGATGAGGAAAGGCCTAAAGCTAGCCATTATCATTTGCTGTTCTCACTCCATTTTGTCAACTGTAATAGTTGATCAGCAATGTAATTTAATGCCTGGATAGAACACTATCTTAGGAACTGTTCCTATGATGAATATGACATTTTTTTATTTTCAGAGAACTTTGTCAGTAATTTAGCACCGATATGAAAACATTTATATAGGACATCAGTTTGTTACTTCAGGAATGAAATAATTAGAATCCTTATTTGTAACTCAGACATAGTTTGTTGATGGTCAAAGTCATACCAGAATAATTTTTTATTTGTAATATATTGATGTTTCAAAAAAGACTTTATCAAGACTGAAAGTTTTTTAAGATGTTTAGTAATTTGTTATTTTGCTTTCCTTTGATTTGTTATTAAAACAAAGTAGAAATTAGGACATCTATAGCTTTTGATGATATTCTGTAATTCCCGTTTTGAATACTGTGAAATAATGATATTTTGTACTGCATAAATTTTTATCCTGATAGCCAAATTACTTTTTTTTTTTTTTTTACTGTTTTTATCTTGAGTGTGATAAGTCATCGTGGAACTGAAAAGTTTAAAACATTCAATTTGTTATTTTACCCTTTGGTCAAAGTTATATGATACTCATTTTATAAATTATTATAATGAAATTGATTTATAAGTCTTTATTTCTGTAGTGTCTTAATTTTATTGTCAGCTTACTGTTTGATCATTTTACCAGATTCAGTTTATATTATAAATAATTTAGGGTGTCATACCTGAGAACAATTAAAATAGCAGTGTAATGTAATCGATGAAACTTTGGGTGAAATACAATGTTCTCATTGTTTGTTAGAGCTCTGAATCATTAAATTTTTAATTTTCTGAGTGTATTTAATCAGATTGTGAAACTGAAAGGCAGTTTGAATGTATTATAAATATAGACTTATACATCCTGTAATTAAGATGAAATTTAGTTATTTGGCCAAACTTTCATAACACATAGCAGATGCATGTGCAACTCTCCTGGTTCAGTTGCATTTGATTCCAGAGATGGAGTGCAGTAGACAGAAACTTGGTAGTAGCATAGGCATTCCATGTGGAGGAGTCTCCTGTAATAGCAGTGAACACCTATAACCTTTTCCAATTACCTCTTAATTTATGCTCTTCATTGTGGAAGTGACAGGAGGAGAGCGTGCATTACACTGTATACACAATAAACATCCCAAGAATATTAAAAGTACAAAGGTCCTCAAAGTCATATGTCACATGATCTTGCTAGAAAAAATAACTGTTCCTTAAAAGTAATGTAATTACTTCATTTTCCTTTTTGTTCCATGTCATAATTGCTTTAAAAAGTAAACATTTTATTTTGCTTGTTAAAAATGTTAATCAACCTATATAAGTACAAATAATAAGGTAAATAGAATCACAAGTCACATCACTAAAAGTCACTCTTTTTGTAATTTTAGTCCTTCAGTGGAAATACCTGTCAATTCTTATGTATATGTAGCTACACTATAAATTTATACATAGTATTTTGCAGCTTATTTTGTGTAGTTCATATGTTGTAGACTTTATTTTGTGTCATTTTATAAATACAGATTTATATAATTTTAATATCCTTACAGTATGTTGTTTATGTGTATTCTGATGTCATGGGTTAGTGGAAATTTAACCCATTTCTAAGTTTTTACCATGTAAACAATGCTATGTATAAGTCTTTTCCATGTTATTTCCCCAATATAAATTCCATATGTGGTGCTGTTGTGATCAAAACATTCATAAATTTTTTCCTTTGATTGATCTTCTACTTCATGCTTCTATCCTCAATATATGATTTTGTAACAAAATAACATTAAATTTTAAAGAAATTTTGAATTTGCTTTGATTCAGGTTCATTCTAAAACTCTTCTGTTAACTATTCTCCTTTTTTGTTGTTAATAATGCTCTGATAGAAAATTTTGTGAAATATTCTTGTGTTTGAAATTTCAAATAGTGATTATCCAGTGCAAGAGAAAATCGTTAATATATTACTTTAGACTGCATGGTTTTTTTTTTGTTTGTTTGTTTTTTGTTTTTCTCCGGTACCAGGAACCGAACTCACGACCTTGCGCTTGCCAGCCAGGCGCTTTTGCCGCTGAGCTAAATCCCCAGCCCTAGACTGCATGTTTTTATGTCTGTTAGATTTAATGTATACATGTTGCATTGAATAGATGTTCCAGGAAAGCTTCAGTAATTAAATTTATAATAAACTGTCAGGTAAAGATCAATAATAATCCAATACTTAATGAACTTCACAAATCTAGCATTCAGTTATCCAATGGGAAGTTTTTTTTTTAATTTATCAGTGTGTAAGAATTCTAAGGTATCTCAGACCATACAAAATTGAAAAATTACACAGTTACAATTGTTATGATAACATGTTTTCTTTTGTCACATATTTGAGACATTTCCTGATTCTTTGTGAAATGACAGCTACTGAGGGCTAGGTCCATCTTTACCACACTCTTAGCCATGTTTGTCACCTGTCAAAATTAAAGGAAAGCTGTACAGCTGCCCTGTATTCAGATACTTCATCCAATCCTGAACTGATTCGATCTGATAGAATGCTGCCTCCCCTGCCCCTTACTCTGGAAGTCCCTGTAGCCACCTTTATGGTGGTGGGAGCATCTCTTCTACTGTGGATACTCTTCTTTACTCAGCCTCTGGTTCATGTTGAGAGCTAGATGTTGAGACCTGGCCAACTTCCTCTTCCTAAAAAAGAAAGGTTGCTATTCAGCAGGCATCAAGACTGTAAATGATATTTTTCTTTCTATTGAACTGAAAATATCAAAATTAATTTTGCAACATTGAGGATTCAATGTTTATTTTTGGGAGAAAAATATTTTATACGTATTACTTATACATATTAGTAATTTAAGTTGATTTTCTGAATTGCCACATATATGTGGTTTCCTTTATATCTCGTTATATTTCATTAGAATAGTTTCAAGGAATGGGTCAATGTTACCAGAAAATGTATGAGCTTATTCTGCTTCCACATGAAAAAGAAAGTTCATTTCTACTTTTGTCATATTTATATGTCATAAGGACCACGGAAACTATGTTTTGTTACCTTGTGTTTGTGTATCTGCTGTGAATGACAGAGATAATGTGGTTTTTATCAGTATTAATACTTACTGGGGCATGGTTTCAAAAAGGTCAGGAATGACGGACCGAAAAATTTTCTCGAGAATGCTTTATAACGTTGCTTGAAAACATGAAGCAATTTAACAAACTTGATTGTCCTTGGCTGCAGAGTAAAGGTTGCATATACAAAGCTCAGGATGTTGCCAAGAATACAGAGTATCAGCAATGTGTCGGGTGCCTCCAATTCAAAGTCTTTGTGAGCACATTTAATAACTGATGTAACCTGCAATGGGAACTGGCTCAGAACTTATTTCAGTTGAAGCTGGTCATTTTTCACTATCTTAAACAAAATCTTTTATATAGAGAATTTCTTTGCACACATGAATTCTAAATTATCATACACTTACAGAGTGTTATAATGATTTTCTGGGAGGAGATCTCACTTTAACAATTAGGTAATGTGTTTTATACTTTTTTCATAATCAGTGACTTCAAACTAACAAACCAGAAAAGCCTCTGTGGCTTGGGTGGAGCTCAGAGTGAGAGTGTGTGCTTAGTAGACCTGAGGCTCTAGGTTCAGTTCCCAGCACCAAACAAAACAAAACAGAAAAGGCACCTCTTAATATTTCAGGGCTGGCCATTTTTTCAAAATTGAGTATGCAATGGCAGTTTTAATATACATGTCATGTTACAAGTGCGTGGCATTGTCAGGAAAGCACATATTAGTTACTCTAATTAACACGTGACTCTAAAAGTTTTAGATAAATCAGCTCGTGACTCTTGGTTATTTGTATTCTTGTGGGAATTTTTTATCACCAGATGCAAATAGTAGGCTAAAAATATAGCTGTGTTTGTACATAGAGAGAATATTCAGCTCACTGGTACTGTACATGTAAGAAAACAAAGTAATTAAAATGTTGTTTGCTATAGTAAATCTCTAAAAGTCCGATTATTTGTATTTCATATGTGTCCACATTTCTGAGAAGTTAGCTGTTGCACAACAACCTACTATGATTATCTGATATCCTCCGGAAGGTTAGCTGAGTTGTTTCCTATATTACTTAGGAAAAAATTTCTTTTCACAATTGAAAATGTCAGCATCAATTTAAAGTAACACTAAGCATGTGCTTGCTTTCTGAATATTATCCTCCTCCACCTCCCTCCAACCACCCTGCCTAGGATCTGGCTGTGACAGTTTGATTAGATCATCAATCCTCACTGTTAACAGCACTTTTCCTGAACACCTGGACTGCTGGGTCACATCTGAATTCAGCTACCGTTGTTTCTGTGACCTGACCTGCATTCACCATAGCAATTTACATTACATACACAAATTAAAAGGTACCTTATAACAACAATTTATTTTAAAAACCAACCTCTTTCCCCCCATATTGAAGTTCTATTATAAGAGGTGCATTCTTGTGTGAAGAAAGACTGCTAGAACACAGGCACCGCCATGATGAAGGTTCTTTTTTCTTTTCACTTAGGATCTTAGATCAAATTTTCTGAAATGAAAATGATTTTGTCTTTCATTATCTTTTGCCATTTAAAAATCTGATTTGATTGCATTATAAAAATTTGATTGTTTTTAACCATAGTTAAGCCTGAATAAATAATAGAATTTGTCATATATTGTTGGAAGTCTTTGTTTTTTTGCTTCTAAATTCTCCACTTGAACTGTCATAGTGTCTGATTTATACTTTCCGATTTATAGTTGTACTTATAGAGGTAGATATCTACTGATACTTTCAATGCAAATAGTTTCAAAACAGACTGTAACATGAGCATACTTTTAAATCTAACATTATAGATGATTTTTGCTACTATAATTATCTTTTGTTTTCCCCACATTTTACTTTTTGTAATAAGAGGAGAAGAAGTGTAAAAAATGTACCACTACAATTTGTGATACTTTGGAATAGAGACCTGGCATCTGTTGCCCAGGCAATATTTTTTTTCTCATGTCTCAACAGTTAGGTGGATGAAGATGCTTCATTATATGTTATTTCTTCCACCAGAGGTAGAGATGAAGATGAGCCAATATAAATTTTATCTTTGATTTTATCTGGAACCTACTGGTTTAAAGTTTTTAAATGTTTATTATTTTAACTCTGAGCATGATGCAAGCAAATCAGGGTGGCATGGTTGTCATACTACAGGTCTAAACTGTCTTCCAAGTTGGCTGTGTTTGAAAGGTGTTTGGATTGTGGGGGTGCTGTACTCATAGGTGGATTAACCCATTGATGAGTTTAGTGGCTACATGTGCTAGTAGGAGGCAGGGCCTGGTTAGAACCAGGTCACTGAGTTTGTGGAGGGTCTTTTCTTTCTTTCTTTCTTTCTTTCTTTCTTTCTTTCTTTCTTTCTTTCTTTCTTTCTTTCTTTCTTTCTTTCT